AGTGTTTGTGATAGGGCACACAAATGTTTTCATAATCATAATAGAATACGGTACTTTTATTTTTTTCGTTGAAACGAAAGTTCGGCTTTAATTCTCCATATTAAATTCATTATGTACAAAATTTTCTACAGTGTTAAATTATTCTCTGTATATGATGAAAATTTACATACATTTTATACTCCTTATAATATTGTAGAATTAAAAGAAGCAGTGTTGCCAGTATTCCCTTTCACCTCCCTTTGTCGGACTTAAACGAGGGCACTTCCATTTGTCGCGTAAATATAAAAACAAAGTTACACATATATGTATAGGTTTTTAATTATATTATTTTGATTGACTCTCTGTTCTATATACATATAGGATTTTAATTCAGTCGGAGCCCAAAATTAAATGTGTTCCGCTACTTAAATTTATTTTTAAATTATTTGTTGTTAATTTATTTTTTATTTTATATCTCTTTATTCATGAATCTGCTTTGTGAAGCTGAGGAAAAAAGGAATTTTAACGGAAAAAATATTAATTTTAACGTAGCATATCGGTGTGGGTTTTTGTCAGTGTGGGCTTTTATCAGCGTGCGTTTATATCTATGTGGGCTTTTATTAGTGTGGGCTTTTATCAAGGTGCGCTTTCATCAGTGTGGGTATTAGTCGCATGGGTAATTATCCCAGTGGGGTCTTTTTTGTGGGCTTTTGTCGCATGCGCTTTCGTCCAGTGGGCTTTTGTCTGGTCACCGCTTTGAGGTAATGGTAAAAATATTTTAGTTCATAATGCAAAATTTATTCCGAAAAATTTATAAAAAATTATTTAAAAATACAAATTTTAAAAGTAAATCATAAAAAAATGTGTGAATTTTATTTGGACTGAACCTAAATATCAACTTGTGAACTAATGAACTAGTAAGTTTAATAGAAAAAAAGACATGTTAATAAATATGTACCAAACTCAATTAACAATGAGGAACTAAAATTGGAGAGCAATTTTTTAAAACTACTCATGTGATTTTTACAAAATTTGGGAGAATTTAATATGTATCCTAAATCACACTTTCAAGACATGAAAAACACATGTTAAATTTCATCACTCGGCTCAATAGATCAGGAGATCTTGTGCAGAGGTAATTGGAAATTGGAAAATTCATCCTTCAGGCTCTGCTGAAGGTACAATTGGTTTTTCAAGTTTCCCATACCAAAATGCTTTATGGTTTACATTGTGAAAGCACTTATTCTTTCTGTTGGAATTGAGAACTGATGGCAGTTCCTCTGGCATTGGGACATTTTTAGTGTTCATTTTTCTTTCCCTGTTTTTCAACTTGCTTATAAAACATAATAAATATTATAAAATTTAACATAATTGAATTTTATGATAATGTTCTTTCCTTCCACCTGAAGTCTCATTTCATTCAGTTGCTGTGTAAGTCACCAAGTATGGGGGGGGGAGCAAGTGATAACTTGCCAGAGTTCCCAATTTTCCTAGAAAGTCTATTCTGGAAAATGGAAGCAGTCAGGGAAACTATCTACTTTTTCCAAAAATGTTATCAAAGTTTTTGAACTTCGTCCAGAAAGTGCGGAAAATCAAAAAAGTACATATTGAACCTTTCAGACTATACAAAATAAACAAAAATTGTCCTTGTTAAAAAGAAGAAAGTCTATAGTTATTATAATCTTTATTTATTTATTTTTTATTATTTATTTATTTATTATTTTTTTTGCATGAAGTATTTTACTTTTGTTATCTAATACAATTTTATAAACCCATTCTTTACTTCACCTTTTAGCGAGTTGTTACTCATCTTTCTTTTTAGATATGCAACTATTGTGTTACTCCTCTCTTTAGAAGTGTAATTGCCTTTTGTAAATAAATGTGAAGAAATGGGGGGGGACTGGAAAAGGAATCCTTTAATGTTAATTTATTAATGCTAAATTTATAGCAGTAGACACACCTTATCATGTACATTTTGTGTAGGTAATATCAAATTAAAAAATGTGTCTAATATTTGTGGAAGATAACCAGTTATTTTCATGATGCCTTTGCTAAAAACATTGTAAGCACTGCAGTGTTAATTAATCATAGAGGAAACAATGAGTTTCATATGCAGATAGTAGTGACTTTACACAAGATTGGTGGCTTGGCACATTTTTTTAATTTGTGCAGTTCTTCCAAATTTAAATTTTTGTCCTGTCAAATAAAATAAGAATGTTGCTTTATTTTTGGGATGCATTTATTTTGTATTTAGATATATTAAAAATTCTTAAAAAAAAAAAAAAAAAAAAAAAAAAAACTTTCTTTCTCCCCTCGCACCCAATACAGGAATGTCTAATCATTTCCAAGGCAACAGGTGAGAGAATGAATAGATGAACAAAATGAAACAGCGCCTAATCTGCTGTTGTCCTCAACTCATCACATCTGTCTTCTCTATTACTAGAAAAGAAAGGTGTGGTATTCTTCTATAGTAAGAAAGTATAAGTATTGACAAAACACGTAATATTTGGGTTAGAAATGCGACACTTGTCATCCTGTGTATTTCATTTAAACTTATTAGATTGAATTAAACCTATACTTCGCCGACAGCGCATAAAGCACAGTAGAATAAATGTGTTCTTTAAAATTCACTTTGTTTACCATAGCCACACTCTGGCACTAGGTTCACTTAACAGTATTATATTTCGTTCGTATCATAACTCTGAATGCACAAAATTTATATCATTTAAAGAATTATCTAATCGTTGCCACATGTTCTATTCAAATACTATAATAAACCTAGAACTATGTATAAAAGAAATTAAGCAAACAAAACAAAAACGAAACAGTTTTTCACAGACGATTGAGTATTTCTCATTTAATTAATTCAGTTCTCACTTCGCGAGAAGGCAAAAATACATAAAAACTCAAAATATCTATATTAAAAATTACGAAGTAAATCTTAAACACTTATTTCCTCAAAAAAATTCCAGAAAGAATTAAGCATGTTTTAATTGGCAATAATAAATGAATGCGTTATCTTTGTTGTTGCGAAGCTAAGTTTCTCTAGATTGGCAACAAATCCACTAGTCTCCTGTTTCAAATGTAAACATGCAATGGCCGCCATCAAAAACATTATTAGGCTTAGCGGCACTTAAACAACTTTAAAATTGTTGATAATTCTAAAAATATTGCATACAGATTTACTAAAGGCATAAAAACTTTAACCGTAAGATAAGAACAACATAATTCAAACATTTTTAAAGCAAAAAATGTACAATTTACAAACGTATGAGAGAAAAGAAACTGAGATCACTGAGCCGGGTAACAGACTGGATATATATAAATATATTTATATACATTTGGTGCGTCCGATTGCAACCAAAATACGAGGTGCACATCTACATGTTATAGCAGTCCTATATACAAAATCTCAACGTTCTGAGGCTACTCGTTTTTGAGTTATGTGAGATACGTACGTATACATACATATATACGTTTGTACAGACGCCACAAAAATTCTCTTCAGAATTCATTTTAAAGCAGTTTTATAATTTTTTTGGAGGAAAAGAGTCTTTTATTCTGTCCATACATACAGATATAAAGCAAAAATATCGTTAAATTGCATTCGATAGTGGTCAAAATGGATATTTTGGTTGAAATATGCTGCCTGAAACTTTTCCCGATTACAATACTTCCTTTTTACCTCGTAAAAGGAAGTAAAAACAGAGGAATTAGCCTGCCACCTGTTGAATATTGATTTGTTGTTTGTTGCTGCTATGCAGATAAGAAATGAGAAGAATTAATTTTAAACAGTTTAGAAATGTCAGGAATGTGTTAAAAATATTGTACTATAGCCACTAAATGAAGTCTATGTATTACATCATATTTAGAAAGGTTAATTTAATCATTCATTATATTTTCAATTCTATTTTTCATAAAAAAGTATTGTTGTTATAGTAAGAAATGGTTAATGTAACTGTTTTTCTCACCTCAAATTTAGTGATAAGGTAATTCAGTTTGATAGCAAAATTACACATTTTGATGGTGATCATAATATAAGTATATTGACCTTTGTGGGATTAAGGTAGGGGTTTGCAAATACTTTTTAACCATGGGCCAAAAAGGTCTTTTTAATGCATTGTGTGGGTAAGGCTGTTGCAAAGTGCAGTGATACTTGTGTGATTATCTTTTATGATATCTCTATTGTTTTCAGGATATGATGGTAGTACCGGTCACCGATAGAAAATTAAAAAAAAATTACAAATTTAAATTGCATTTTTTGCACTTAGTTCCATATTTTTTACTTCAAATAAACCCCACATGGTGAACATGGGGCTGTGGTAGTCCTGCTTGATTTCATTCTTCAGATTGGGAGCAGTTGATTATTTAATTGCATTTCATAGAGAAAGGAGGAGTATGGTTGGGTTACTGGTAATTTGCAGTTTCACCAAATATGCCAAAAAATAGGATCTATTCTTATTAGTCATAAACATAATTGACATGTGTGTTCTTTCATTTTTAAATAAAAAATTAAGGCTGAAATGTCCTTTATGGTTTCATTTCTAAATCGAAGCTGCTAGAATTGATATAATTATATTTTTCAGTGGATAAACATGCTTTCTAGCATATTTAGCACAGTTTAATTTGACAATTAGTATAATCATTCATATATAATATGTGCAAATACCTATAATAAATGCACACCCATGCTGCTGATTTGGTAGTTTGCATACGAAATCAGATAGGAAAGAGATGCAAATGTTTTTGCACAGAATTTCATAACAGGTGGATTAAGCAATAAAAAATGCTGCATTTGGCCAGTAGGCCAGCTTTCTCCCGCCCCTGGGTTAAGAGATGGGTAATCTAGAGAATAATATTATAGTTATCAATAACAATGTTTGTTTATTTTCTTAAATATTTGTTTTTTCAATGGTTATCATCTGTAGTAGGTGTTTGCCATAAGAAGGTTTACTGTAATTTTTTTAATTTTCAGCGATAACTATTAGGTTCTGTTATATATATATTTATTTTACAATTAGGTCAAAAGTGTTAAACCATGTTTAAAGCAGTTACAGCAAGGCATTCAGACTATCACTTCTCTGCATGCAGATGAAGGTAATTAACTATCCTCTAAACTTCTTTATATTTTATTAATGTTATAAACTGAAAGTAATTGAAATCTTTATCGTGTTTAACAGAAGTGATTCCTACAAATCCTGGAGATATGTTCCAATGGATGCCAAAGGAACATATGTGTGTCTTAGTTTATTTGGTAAGATTTTTTCCCCCTATTCTGGTGAAATTTTAATGAAAAGTTCATGCATTTAAAGGTTTATGTGTTTACTTTTTCTGCAGGTAACAGTACTTCATTCCATGCAAGCTGGATATATGGATAAAGCTCAGAAGTATACTGATAAAGCTTTAATGCAGATAGAAAAGCTAAAAAGTAACTTATCTTTGTTATTAATTAAATGCATAATGTACTTCATTCTGGCTTACATCTGTATATAAAAAACATCTGTGCAAATCTGACAATGTAAATGAATTAAAAATGCACTGAATGCTTTCCATGAAGAACAGCTATTTGTTATTTTATGTATTTCTGCAGTCATGAGCTACAGATCTCTAAGAATCGATTTTACAAGTTTCAGATATATTCTTACCATAATTTAATCCATGGCTGGTGCAAAAAATCCATCAACTTATAGAATGGCTGTAGCAGGTATAATCTAACATTGCATAAAGGAAGGTCATCAGTCATTGAAGCTCGCTGTAGCAAATCTGCTGTGTCATCATGAGTTTTTGATTTTCAAGTAGAGTTTTATAAAGATGCATAGTGCATGTAGAAATAAGCTATACTGCTGCATTGTTTGTTGTACAGAAGCATGAGTTATGCCATTGTTTCTGTTCAGTGTTGAGGTACTTCATCTGATATGTCTGTAAGATCAACCATGTGTGGCTGAAAAATAAACCTAATCTTCTTGTTAATCAAAAATTCATTAAATGTGCACAAATAATGAAATAAATAAAGAAAAACTGTAAATTCAAAATTCAGGCTTTCAGGTGCATATGTTCAGGTAGAGGATGAAATGTGTTCAAAATTTGATGTTCTAGGTGTTATTTTCCCACAACACAAGGAATATGAATGTATGTATCAACAAACAAACAGGCAAGCACACATGCATGCACATACAATTTTTTATTATTTAATAACAGAAATTTCAACAATTTATTTGCTTAATTATTTGTTTTTGGTGTGTAAGGCAATTGTTGTTGCACAGAATTTCATAACAGAGGGATTAAGCAATAAAAAATGCTGCATTTGGCCAGTGGACCAGCTTTCTCCCTCCCCTGGGTTAAGAGATGGTCAACCTGGAGAATAATATTATAACACACATCCGTTTGTTTCAAAAGAACAACCATTTGGAACAATTTTTTTGCATTGTCACAACAGCCAGTCACTACTAATCACTTTGGGGTTAAAACAGGGGAAACTGGTTCTCCATTACAAACAAGCTAATAGCTGATTGGTTGAAAATGAAAACTTGCAATTTTTTTTTTCGAAAGAAAGGAAAAAATCGCGCATTTTTCTTTCAATAGTAAACCAGGCAGAAAAATTGTCCGAAACAGTTGTTCGTGTGAAACAAATGCATGTGTGATATGAGCCTAATAGTTACAAACTTGTATTCACCTTTTATTTTCTGAAGTTATATAAATCTTTAGGTTTCAGGACTTTTATTTCAGAAGTGTATATGGATTATTTTCAGGATATAGTAACTATATTTTACTTAATTTTTCAGTGATTGACAGTCATCCTATCTTACACTCCTTTCAATTGCTACTTCTTGAACATATAGCAATGTGTCGGCTTGTGATGGGAAATAAAACATTGGCAATACAAGAGGTACTAAAATTTTCATTTATACTTTATACAGGTGTTTTTATTTTCTTTATATACTGCATATGTCAGTTGTATTTTTATTGGCATTAATATTTTTAATATATTTACAATTCAAATTAGTCTAGTAATGAGTGGAAATAGTAGTAGAAGAAACCATTCTTCTTTAACAGAAGTCTGTAAGAAATGATGGTATTATTTTGAGATTATATATATGTAAGAAGAGCTAAGAAACTGGAAAGAATTAATGATAAATTCCTTTACGACACTAATAATAATTTATAAGTTATATTTTAATACACTGTGATGAAAAGTGATGTAATATAAATTGTAATATAATTTTCTGTAGTGTTTAATGGCTTCTGAATATACTGATTTCAGAATTTCAATATAGTAATTCTATCTTTGGCAAGATCTTTAATTTAAAAATTACATATATAGCTTTTAATGTGCATAATTTATATGCGTATAAAACTTGTTGGGATCACAAACCTAAAAGAATGCTGCTATTTTTTTAATATAGCATTTTAAAAATAATCTATTACTATTACAGGGTTCGTACAGTCCTTAAGAGTACTTAAAAGTCCTTACATTTTTTGGAATCGATTTTTGGTCCTTAAAATTCCTTAATTTTGGCTAAAATCAGCAGAAGGTCCTTAATTTTAGACATCTGAAGTTTCTGTTTGTTTTTACGACTGAAACATAAGCATTTTGAAACTCTTTTTTTCTAATAAAGAACTTTTCAACAATTTTTCACTTTTGAGGATGTGAATTCTTTTATTAAATTGTTCTAAATTTGGCGACTTATCAACATTTTGGCGATTTTAAGATAAGTTTCTATAGAAACGTTTTAATTCCGAGATCTGAGAAATTTTCGACGATTTTTTTTAAAACATTGTAACATTGATAAATTTCATTAAAATAATGGTAATATATTGAAATTATATTTAAAAAATAACATTAAAATAAAACATTTTTATTTTTCGCTGTCATATTATAGTTTCATTTTGGCCACTTATTATACAATATTTTGAATTTGAAAAATAAACAAGGTATAATGCTATAAAGCATGATTAAAAAAAAATTAGCAAAAGCAAAATTAGCTATACAATTAATTAAAAATGTCCTCTTTTTAATTTTTTCATAGTAAGCGTTTTTCTCATGTAATTGTCTCAGAATATTCAAAATTCTCAGAATATGCAACAGTTTTCTCTATAAAATTAATTTTACAGTTTTTCCTTTTTTTTTTTTTTTTTTTCCCTCTAAAATAGTTCTGGCTTTAGAAGGATTTGAAGGCAAGATTTATAGACCTATGATTCTAGAAGATTCGAGAAATATGTGACAAAATAAAAAATGTCTCCATAGTATCAACACATAATGGATCTATTTAACAGAAAGTTAGCGATGAATTTCTTACTTTTTGGAGAATGTCTGGAAGAACTATGAAAACATAATATTTGAATGTTTTACTCCTGATACTAGAATCTTTTTCTTAACATGTTTATCTTTCCTTTATTTTCTCTACTTTTCACTTAGCACAAACATGGAAAACATCAAAAATGTTTCTAATCTTATAACATGGGCAGGCATTATAGAAAGGGATTTTTTTATTAATAAAGAAATTGAAAAACTTACAATTTAAAAGATTCATCTAATGTGTCTTAATACATCATACACAGAGCTGACACTAGGCATTTTCCCACCTAATGTAATCTCTGTGGATCCTAAATTCTGCTGCCTAGTGTCTTTCTAAGTTCTGTTTCCAGTGCGTGCTCTAAATTCTAAAAGTTTTGCCATTTCTAAATTTTGTTGTTCGGTATATCACTAAATTCTAAAAATTCTGAGCACCAGCTCTGTAACCTTCCTTTACCATATATATATCATATTTCTTCAGAATGTTCATATTACTAAAGAAATGAAATTGGCCACTTTTTTTTATACATTCTAAATGCATTAAATGTTTTTTAGAATAACACAAATCCTTAATTAAATCCTAAAATGAAAAGGTAACTTTGTAGAAAGAAACTGAATACATAAAGAAAATTATTCTTCAAAAATATGTTCAGTTGTTATTATGTAAATTACCCAAATGTTTATGATTTCAGCCTTTACTATAATGTCCCTTTTCTATTTCTTCATATGATAGAGTTACTGAGGCAGATTAAATAAATTAAATGTATAATCTTTGACCACTATTAACATTTTTAGTTTGAATTTGACTGTTCTTGTTTAATTCCGTCACCGTGAGCTGTAGTTGATTTTGTTAGCATTAGAAGCCTTTATGTTCTAGTTCTTTTTAAAAAAGAGCTTATTTAAGCCTTTGTCTGCTATTCTAGTTACTTTCAGACATATGATAATTTGCTTCATGCTGTCTGGGGTTTTGATTATTTTAACTTTTACCAGATCAAGTAACCCTCATAGTACATTGTGTAGAGGTTGCAATTAGGAGATAAAACCGCAAAACTAGCGAGAGTGTATGTGCCAAATGAGACAAAAAAAATCAACATAAAGCGTAAAATGTAAATGTCACTTATCTTCTTTCATATGTTTCAACTGTTATAGTGTAAATATTTATGCCACTTGATGAATGCATAAAGTTTATTTTATTCTCTAACTTATTATAATATGTTAATATTCCATTTAGCAATATGCACACTACTTGCGGATCTTTTTTTTTTAGGATGGTATTACAAAAGTGAAATTCAGGGCATTGATAATTTTTTAATTGAATTTATTCAGTTCCCATTTGCTCATAGGTCCTTAATTTTTTTCATTAATGGTCCTTAAAAGTACTTAATTTCCATGTGCAGAAATGTGTACGAACCCTGTATTATTTTTTTGAAAAATTTAATAATGTAGTTTATCCTAGGTGATGCTTTTGTTGTATTTGTAACAAAATTTTAATGAGCATAGTGAATTATTAACTTGAGTTAAATACCACATAAATAAAACTGTGAATTCTATCAAAAGCTTTCATTTTAATGTAGGGGATCATTTCAGTCTGACAAAGGTGACATTTTAGTTTGCCATAGAGAAATTTATCTTAGACCCTCTCTTCATGAATATATAATATGGGACCAAATGCATTTTCTTAATAGTTTATTATTATTATTTCTTTGGATCAGCTCATTGCTTTGTTATTTAATAAATAATCTCATAAATATACTTTCTGTGCCTGTAATTTTCCCATTTAAAACCAAACTTAAGTCTGAATTTTTTCTAATACGTTTTAGTATTCAGTAAAGTTTTATGTATTTGAAATAAAGGAAACAAAATGGTTGTAAAGAGCATTTAATCCATTTGTTTAATCAGTAGATTATATGCTTTAATTCTATTAAATCATTTCTTTTTATAGGCTTCTCATGCTCTGCAGATTTGCAAACAAGAACCAAGATTGTTTGTTCGGCATAGACCTCAAATCAATGCTTTGTTGGTAAGTCTTCTAAAGCAGTTTTTTGTTTGTTTCTTTATTTCACATGTAATAAATGTATATTCTGCACACACACACACAGAAAAGGGACATATCTGTATCTCCTGTTTTATTGGCCCAATTGACAAAATTTGACTTGCGTTTTTTATGTTTTGGAAGTTTGACTTACCTCCAGTAGAGCGATGCGTCTGAATACGGGGGTACCTGGGCTGAAGGCCCTATCCCTGTAGAATAATTTTTAACTTTGCGAATGATGTCAATTTATTTATAAAAATGCTTGGCATAATTTATGGCCGGTTACCTATCATGGTGAGAATAATGATAGCCATGAGTATGAAGATTTTGGAACATCACAAACAAAAGACGAAATTTTCTAATTAATAGAGTTTTTGAAGAATGTGGAAAAGTGATAATAAATGAAATTGATATTACAGAAGTTTTTCATTGCAATGACAATGCCCCAATCATCAATTAACTTAAGTACAGCAAAATTTGTAATATGGTTCTTAATCCAGAAAATCTGTCACTGATCGGGAAGAAAATGACAAGTTGTCAAGAATGAAAATATTTTGATTGACAGTTTATTCAGAATTCTTGATATGGCAATTACAGGACTTGAACTTTGGAACTTCATAACTTAACAAGAAATTAGGTCTGTCTGTAGAAGAAAAGAGAAAGTATTAGTACAAAAAACAAAGCAACTAAAACAAGCATTGAAAGAAATATTTAACTCTTTGAAATCCAGACGATTTGCTAACCTGTATCCTCAAAATACCAAACCGCCTGAAATACTTTTCCAGTTTCACAGCAATTTCCTCCCATCCCCGTCCATTAACACAAAAAATAGGTGTGAAGATTTTGAATGGCATCCTTTGTATTTCAACAAGATTCCATTAGCCTTTGATCCCATTCTTTATAAAACTATTCTGAAGGTCAGACCAACAACTGGCTTTGTTATGATCATGACTGAGATTTTGTTTATTTCTGTTATTTTTATAGGAAGAAGTAAATTGATTAAAAATATAAATCCTTATTTTTAAACTGCCCTTTATTGCTGTTTAAAGCTTAAAAGCATACTGTACCACAAAGAATCAACAACGAATATCATAGCAACCAAAAATAAGAACCTCTTAGTAAAGCTGTCTGCGTAAACTGATACAATGCATCTGGGGAAACTGCACTTGCTACTGCATACCTTAGAGGGAGGGAAGGAAACAAGATTACAATCTTGGCCGTTTTCGGGCGGTTCTGGTTGTTTCAATGTAGGGCTGTGTGGGGCGGATTGGTTATGAAAGAGTTAATAAAGCAAAATAATAAATATTGAGCTTTTCTTTCATAAATTTTGATTCCTTTTGAGGTCATAAATGCTACATTATTTCATAAATCACTGTTTCATATTTTTGATTTTATAATTCCTATATGTCTTCTTAATAAATTTAAATTGATGATCTGACATCCGAAAAAATCCGAAATCTGGATTTGCCAAAGTCTAAACAAGTCCGAATCTGAGACTTTTTACTGTATAACATTCCCATGTTATTTATATGCTAACCTATAAAATGTTTTGCTATTTCACTGGATCATCTTTGTTAATAAGCTCTGCTTTAACTTTAAAAGAGCCCTTTCTGCTGACTATTAAAATCTGAACCCTTTTTATTTATTTAATTTTTTTAATTTACTATTACTTCCTTGTTCGAAGTAAAAAGGAAGTATTGTAATCGTGAAAAATTTTGGGTATAATATTTCAACAAATATATGGATTTTGATCACTATATAATGCAATTTAATGATGTTTTTGCGAGACATCCGCAAGTAAGGACAGAATAAAAGACTCTTTTCCCCCAAATAAATTATAAAACTGATTTAAAATGAATTCTGAAAAGTTTCGTGTCGTCTGTGCATATGTATGTATGTACGTACGTACGCATCTATCTCGCATAACTCAAAAACGATTAGCTTCATAACTTTGAAATTTTGTATGTAGGATTGCTGTAACATGTAGATGTGCACCTTGTATTTTGGTTGCAATTGACCGCACCAAAAATATATAAATATATGTATATACCTATCCACTCTGTTACTTGGCTAAGTGAGCTCAGTTTCTTTATCCTTATATGTTTGTAAAATGTGCATTTTTTCCTTTAAAATGATTGAATTATGTTATGTTGGTCTTATCTTCTGGTTAAGGTTTTTATGCCTTTAGTAAATCTGTATGCAATATTTGTGGAGTTATCAACAATTTAAAAGTTCTTTATGTGCAGCTAAGTCTAACAAATTTACGGACATGTTTGTTTATATTTCAAACTTGGCAGAATATCGGATTTGTTGCCAATCTAGAAAAACTTCGCAACAACAAAGATAATGCCTTCTTTTATTATTGCAAATTAAATCATGCTTAATCCATTTTGGAATTTATTCAAGGAAATAAGTGTTTCAGATTTACTTCATAATTTTTAATATAGATATTTTGAGTTTTTATGTATTTTTGCCTTGTTGGGAATTGAGAACTAAATTAGTTGAATGAGAAATACTGAATTGTCTGTGAAAAACTGTTTCTTTTTTTGTTTTGTTTGCTTATTTCTTTTATCACCGTTTTTAATTTATTATAGTATTTGAACAGAACCTGTGGCACAATTAGATATTCTTAAATTATATAAATTTATATCATTCTGAGTTAAATATACAAAACGTAACACTGTTAAGTGAACCTAGTACCAGTGTCACTATGGTAAACAAATAGAGTGAATTTTAAAAAGTGCATTTATTCTATTGTGGTCTATGCGCTATCGATGATGTAGATTAATTTAATCCAATAAGTTTAAATGAAATGCAAGAAAAAATGCGTATAATTTAATATTCCGTGCAGCGAAGTCATGTGGTGTACCGATCTCTCTCTCTCTCTTTTTTTTTTTTTTTTTTTTTTTTTTTAAAGTTATTACCTATCTATTTATTTACAGTGGTTTTTCAGGAGTTAAGCAGCATATTGAAATTTATTAAAATGCCTAAAGATATTGTGAAATTCCTGAAATTTGCATATGTTACAAATAAAAGCAAGCTGCATCTAATAAACTAAACTAAATGGCAGAATCTCTATTGGGCCAAGGTCAGCAGTGGCCCAAAATCTGCTTTCTTGACCCTGTGCTCCAGGGTACATCAGCACTTGTCAGCTTGTCGCAGGATCCCCAATGTTGAGTCCCCAAGCGAAATTGATACTCATTTTATCCACTCAGGAGATGGAAATCAAGTGATGAAAGGCTGAGTCAACCTTGCCCAGCCCGGGGATCGAACCCCGGACCTGTGGTGGTGCACCGTGATGCGCTAGCCACTACATGACCGGGTCTGCTGTATCTAATAAGATTATGCAAAAGAATGGCGAAACCATCCCTTTATGTAAATACGACACAGCTTAAAACCAACTGTTTAGAAAAGAACCACTATTCAATGAATGATGCTATTTAAAATGATTTCAAGATAGTAACAATGAATTTGAGGCGATGTTTGCTAGTAGAACTGCATTATAGAACCATAAGCTGATTAGAAGCTGGTCAACAACAGTCTGATGTTGCAAAATCTCTAAATGTCAACTGATCCTTGCTAAGCCTGTTGTAGAACTAATTTCTAGTTCCAGTTTTTCTCTCAAACACCTATTGATCATAAGCCAGAAGTTATCTCTTCTGCAGATGAATTGTATTTGCAATTTAGTGTACATTGTAACAGGACTGCAACTTCATCTCAGCTTAGATCCATGCCTGTTTCTGCTACAAGAAGGACATTCTTAGCCACGACAGTACACAGAAGGCTGCACGAAAGAGGTCTTGAATGGTAAGCAATTGGCATTGTGTGTTTTGCTTACCTCCCACCCTGGAGGGAGCATTTGAATTGGGTACATAGTAATCTAAATTGAAGTGAAATTCAGTAAAGATCTGCTCTGTTCACTGACAAGTTCTGCTTTGCTTTACACAGCGATTCTTGACATGTTTACTTGTGAAAAACAGCAAACACTCCATATTTTCTCTCTAATATACACAAAAAAGATATCTATGCAGGAGGTAGTGTTCTTGTATGAGGAGGAGTGTCTTTAGATGGGCTACAGACTTGTATGTGCTGACTCATGGAATTGGTTAAACTTCTGAAGTTCATGGGAAATTAATGTGAAATGTAAATGTAGCTTTTCTAAGAGCTTTTTATCTGATATATTGATATATCTTTCTTCCGTCGTAAAATATGTATTAACTATTTAGAAGTGATGTTTTGTGACATTTAGCTGAATCTTATGCATGATTTTTTAATCAAAATTTTGTGTGTCTTTTTAGGGATTATATGCCATGTCAATGAATTGTATGGAAGCAGCAGAAGCTCAGTTTGGAACAGTTGTTAGAGTAAGTGGATGACTATTTTCCATGCAACATTTATTAGATTTTTCATTAAAAATGCAATGATTTTTCTTCTCTCTTTGTTTGCAGAGTAACGCTACTAGCGAACTGCGTATTTTAGCAAGTTTAAATTTGGCAATAGTGTATCTGCGAAGCAAAAGAGACCATGAATTAACAGAACTTTTAGCTCGTTTGAATCCAGATACACTTCCTTTAGTGTAAGTATTAGATATTGAACCTTTTATGTATACAAATTTGTGGGGAGAAAAAAAAAAAATTCTTTGATATATGAACAATTGTAATTAACCAACCATGACCAACTGAAATGAAATTTCAACCATCCACTCAACCAATTGAAATGAAATTTTAGATATTGTTATTTGAAGGTATGCTGTTGAGATTGTTATGATTTAAAACAATAGAGCTCTCACAGTTACTGTTATAATGAAAAAATTTCAAAATTTTGAGTAGCAAAATTTTTGAGTTTTTCCTATGCAAATTGAGCAGCGCATTGAAAAACTGTTAATGTGTTGGAATGATACACATATGATGAAAATTGCTAGTGTAAAACATTTGCAAAGAACATTATAAAGAACCAGTGACAACACATAGAGGAGTGCAGTGATGCACTTTGCATAATTCACCAAGAGAGACAGTAGAAGCTTAAGAGCAAAGAGTCATCTCCTGTAATTTCACAGTTTCATGGCCACTGAGATCCCCCGACTTCACTCTGATAGATTTCTAATTATGGGATTATCTGAAATCTATGGAGTACATATAAAATCCATGAGATTTGTCAAAATTGAAGGATTCCATAAAATGTGAAGTTGTACAGATGCCTCCTGTATTACATTCTTCATTGTGGTCAGTAATCTCCCATATGCATTGTGTTGTTGTCTCGGAAGGTGGGCACATTGGAAACTTGTGATTACATTAAAAGTTTTTTACTTTCTCCTTTCTTGTGTTGTTATTGGTCTTTTACAATACTTTTTTTGCAAATGTTTTATGCCGGCAGTTTTCATCATGAATGTATTGTTTTAGTGCTGTTTATGGTTTTCAGTGCACTGAACAATTTGCACAGGAAAAAAGTGGGTGCCATTCAAAAATTTAAATTTTTTTCTATGAAACTACAACCATGTGAACTTCATTTTAAATCATCACGATCTCAAGCGCATATGTTCAAATAGCAATGTCTGAAATTTCAGTTTGATTGGTTGAGCAGATAAGCCACTCAGGATTCATATATCAGGGAAGTTTTTTCTGTGACCTTTCTTTATATATATATATAACTCTGTTAATGTAATAAAAGCTAATATTAATTATTACCTTTTGATCAGGTCTCATAGCTTGAGAGCAGCAGCTTACTATGTTCATGGACTGAATGCTTTTTTTAATGCTCGTTACAATGATGCTAAGTGAGTATATTCTGTTAACTTTTACTTGGATTTCTTGCTTTACTCTCAAAAGATTCCTGTAAAACATGATACCTTGCTGCTGAAATTGGTCACTTTTATTCTCTGGATGTGGTTTTTTTTGGGAGGAGACATGATATAAATTCTATGGAAATTTCTGACAGCTATAAAAGAAGTCTTAATACTAACTAGCTGAAAACTTGAGTAAATATTAGCATATCATATTACAATGCATATTATTAACATTATCATTTTGAAAATTATATATTTAAAAAAAAACATATATATTTTTTACAAATGAAGTGAACTTCATTTTAAAGAACTTCATTTACTAATGCACAGATCTTAACAAGAAAGCTTGGATCTAAACACAAGTTAGAAAAAATTTTGTGGTGTTTATTATAATAGTTTAGATAAATTTAATAAATTTAGTATATTTTTACTTGTTCGCTAGTTAATTTTTTTTTTAAATGAATAAATTTATTACATTATTTAGCTCAACATTTTTGCAGTAAATTGTGATTTGTATTTTGATTGTATGCAGGAAGAAAAATCTGTTATTGTATTTTTTGGTTTGTGAATGAAATATATTGTCATAATTTAAACCTTTTTCTTGTTTTTGTATAGAAAGATCTTATTTTTTAACACATTGTAGGAGCTTTTATTGTTTTCACTGCATGAACTTCACATCTTTGCAAATGGAAGTTGTTGCTACTTCATTTGTAAAAAAATATTTGTTGTATGGCTCACACAGTCCTATAATATGTAGTTCAGTGCATATACAACACAGTGAAAAAGTGTGCTGTTAACCATAAATGCTTAGGTTTTCCTCATGATAATTTATGATGGTATAACTTCATAATAAGTCCCCCCCCCCATTCTTTAGCATTGCTGTTTTGAATAACTCATTCTAAAGATACAGTTTTATATTTTGTAGCTTGAATTTCAGGATATTGGCTTCTAGAGCATTTGTTTTCTAGCTTTTGACAGTTTTTGTATTTATAATTGTGTGGAAATAGAATATCGTTACATTTTTTAATTTGCATTACAAGTAAAAATCATTATGTTCCTTCAAATGAAAATCATTATGTAATCATTATGTTTTTGTAATTGTTAAGACCTATAAGTAAACACTGTTAAAAAATGTTTTATTGTAAAGCTCAAGTATTTATGTAGTCTTTTCCTTTTAGCTTAACACTTTCATGAGTTAAATTAGTATCTTATTATAAAAGTTAGGTAGTAATTTAAAAAAAATTTTTATGTTTCATAATTTTTTAACGCTGTTAGCTTATTTCACTTTCCCAATTAATACATTTTACAAAAATTTACTGTATTAATTTTTTTATAAACAATGAGTGAAGAAATTTCATTAGAAATCACTTTTAGAACTTCACATCTTTAACTCCTCCCATGATATTTTCAGCCTTGAATCGCTTGCTATAACATTGCATTCTTCACTTGCTATAATCATGTGTTCTTCACTTCTTTTGGGTTTGTTTTTCTTGGATCATTCTATGTAAAAGCAGTCGATGTCTGTAATTGGAAAAGTAACATGCTAATGTAAAAATCAGAAGTAGGGAGAGGAAAGCTTCTTTAGCTTAGAAAAGATTCTAAGTTAAACTTTACTGATTGCAAGGATGATCAGCGTAGATCCTGTTTCTTCAGGAACAAAAGTAAAGAAAGAATAAAATTAATTCAAAATCTTCAGGAAAGGAAAAAGTTATTTGTTTAATGTACATTGACAGAATCATGATGATGCTCTTATTGTTACAGTGGCACAATAGTTTTACAAAAGAATAAATATCCTGCCTATAATAATAAATATGCTTTATTTTGTTTTAGACGATTCTTAAGAGAAACACTTAAGATGGCAAATGCTGAAGATTTGAATAGATTAACTTCTTGCTCTTTAGTTCTTTTGGGACACATATTTTTTTCCCTTGGGAACAGCAGGGTAAGTATTAAATTTTATAAATCTGCTTTACATGATTATAAAGAACTTTTCAGAATAAGGGTTGTAAGAAATACCACATAATTTATGTTTCTATCCGAAATGGAATATTTGGAAACTTGTAGTTATATATATATATGTGTGTGTGTGTTCAATCAGTAATCAAGTATTCACAAGGCAATCACTGGTTTATTTAAATGTGTTCATATTATAGTGCACACAGATGGCTCTACTTAAAATGGTAAGCACCTAATGGTAAGTACAGATGAAAACAAAATAGAAACCACTGCTCATGGCTTGTAACAGATGCTTTAACAAAGCATAAGCATTGTTCTTTTTTTTTTTTTTTTTTTTTTTTTTTTTTTTTTTGAAGGAAGTGTTTCCAGAATTCAAAGGGTTGAGATGATAATACCATGTATTGGTGAGAAAATGATGATGCACTCCCACACATGTGTATTTATACAATGAATTATTGTATTAATGGACAGTCATGGGACCAAAACTTTTGTTCATTATGAGATAATATCTACTAAAGGAAATTGAGATGTCTAGAAATGAATTTGTTTTATGTTTAAGGGATTAGAAGACTACTCTAATAAAAATGCAGTACCATTAAGCAGCACCCAAATATTACAAATAATCAACTAAAGATGTGTAAATGAAAAAATAAAAATTAAAAAGTATGCAAATCAAAGGAACTTACTTCCTGACTAAAGGAATTAATTTTAAAGACAGCTGCAGCTAGTTACATAAATTATCAAAATAATTTATCAAAGTAATTTATTTTTTTACATGAGTTTGGTGCTATAGCCTCTAAGATAAATAAATATCCAGTTTGCTGGCTATAATAAGCCCATCAAAATTTGTGTGGTTCAAGAAATAAAATATGAAGTGCTGCAGTGTATTTCAATGCATCTTTTGCTATTTAAGTAGATTAATTGTGTCAGCAGTTCAGGATTGCATGTTTTGCTCAAGTTCTTTATCTTCTACCCATGTTTATTTTTCTTTCTGAAATCTCCTCTTTACAATTTTTTTTTTTTCCATGCTTAAAGTTTCATCAGTTGCAATTTACTCTTTAACATTAATTAACTGTTAAATTTAATTCATGAGGGTCATTTTGGTATAGAAAAATGTAAGAAAAGAGCTAGAGATGTTTTGTTTTGGCCACTTATGAACAAGCAGATAGAAGATAAAATTTTAAAATGTTCTATATGTAATGAATACCAGAACAAAAACATAAGAGAGCCTATGATACCACATGAAATTCCCAATTTACCTTGGTATAAAGTTGTGATAGATTTATTTGAGATTAACAAAGATGTATGTTTATTAATTGTAGATTACTATTCCAACTTTTTGAAATCTCCAAACTACCGGATACTCGAAGTCAGACAGTGATCAGTTACATGAAACCTCATTTTGAAAGATACGGTATACCGTTAATAGTGATATCTGATAATGGACCTCAGTTTGCAAGTAAAGAATTTGCAGAATTTCCAAAGAAATACCAATTTAAACATATAACAAGCAGTCCATACCATCCACAGTCGAACGGATTAGCAGAGCGTTCAGTACAAACGGCTGAGAAATTGTTAAAGAAAGCTCAAGCAGATCATGCTGATCCTTATTTAGCATTGTTAGCTCATAGGAACACTCCAACTAATGAGATGCTAGGATCACCAGCTCAACGACTTATGAGTAGAAGAACAAGAATGATTCTTCCTGCATCTGAAGAATTACTTAAACCTCAAGTTGTGAAAAATGTAAAAGAAAAAATCAACCAAGAAGAACTAAACAGAAGTCATATTATGATCGTCATACAAAACATTACCATCGCTAAGTAAAGGAGATTGTGTTCGGGTATATCAAGATAATCGCTGGAAACCAGCAGTTGTAGAAGAAAGTGCATAAGACACCTAGATCATATATACTTAGATCAGGGGGATCAGTATTGAGAAGAAATAGAAAAGATATTAGAGAAAAGCAGTTCAGCTGTTGAATGAGAATATCAGAGGGGAACAGAACAAGGAGTTAATACACAGAAAACAGATGTAAAAGGATATATGATTCCAGATATTCTCAAGGGCAAAGTTTAGAAGATGATCAACTACCAAACTCTGCTAACTCAGAAACAAAGGAACGGTGAGCTAAGAACTAGAAGTGGGAGAATGATTAGAAAGCCGGCCAGATATTTGGACTGATTTTAGGCTGTTAAAACTTTTGAACTCTTTAAAAAAATGGAAGATGTAATATTTAATAATTTGTAAATGGTAACATTTAATATTTAGTAATTTGTAATTGGCAACAATTTGGATATGGATTTGAAAATAGAACTATGCTGGTATTGCAGTTCTCTGTGATTATACATTCTAAGATTGTAAATAAATAGTTTCTAAAAGCTAAAATTGTACCCTCATAATTTTATATGGAGAATATATTTCTTTAAGCACTGTAGTGTAGCATCACATTCACTTTCTTTCTTCAATTCATAAATTTTGTCATCAGATGCTGGAATCAGTGTACAAATTTCTGTATCTTCATCATTATCTTCTTCTGTTGTATTCAAATATACTCTACTCAAAGTGTCTGCTATTAATAAGTCTTTCCCCTTTTTGTATCGTACATCTAGATCATATTTTTGTAAATTTAACAGCATTCTTTGCAATCGCTGTGGTGCTTTAAAAAGAGGTTTCTTAGTTATGCTTTCTAATGGTCGATGATCAGTTTCAACTGTAATACGTTTGCCATATATATATTAATGAAGTTTAGAACATCCAAAAGTAATAGCTAAAAGCTCTTTTTCTATCTGAGTATAATTTCTGACTTTTTGTTAGAGCTCTAGAAGCATAAGCAATTGGTTGGTTTTCTTGTAGTAAAACAGCACCTAATCCTTCAGAACTTGCATCTACTAAAAGAGTTACATCCTTATTAACATCATAGAATTTTAATACGGGTGCTTTTGCAATCAATTCTTTAAGTGTTTCGAAAGCTTTTTGATGCTTTTTTCAGTCCAGTGCCAGAGAACATTTTTCTCAAGTAACTGTCTTAATGGTGCAGTAATAGTAGTTAAGTTAGGAATAAATTTGGCTAAATAATTAATCATTCCCAAAAATCTTTGTAGCGAAAGCACATTTGTAGGTTCAGGCATTTTAACAATTGCTTCCACTTTAGAAAAATCAGGTTTTAGTCCTTTTCACTTAACTCGTGCCCTATATAATTCACACGATTAACTTTTATTTTACATTTAGCCTTATTGAACTTCAAATTATTTTCTCGTGCTCTCTGGAGTACTTTTTTAAGTCATAGCTCATGTTCCTTTTCATTAGATCCCCATATTAAGATATCATCTATAATACATTCAACGCCTTTTAGACCTTCTATTATTTGGCTTAATTTTCTTTGGCAAATTTCTGGAGCTGAACATATGCCAAAGGTAATCTTTTAAATTTGTATCTGCCAAAAGGTGTATTGAATGTACACAAATTATTACTTTCTTCGTCAAGCTGGATTTGCCAAAAAGCACTTCTAGCATCTAAAACAGAAAATATTTTTGCGTTAGGCATTCTAGTGACAACTTCGTCAATGGTTAACATTGGATAAGGTTCTCATTTTATAGCTTTATTTAAATCTCTAGGATCTAAACATATTCTTATTTTGTTTGGTTTGACAACTGTGACCATTGAATTTACCCATTCAGTTGGTTCTCGTACTTTCTCAATAACATTTAAATTTTCCATTCTTTGTAATTCTTTCTTAACTTTAGAACGTATAGCTATGGGTATTTTTCTTTCTTGGATTAATGACTTGTGTTACATCTTGTTTTAACTGGATTTTATATTCTCCATTCAAACAACCTAAGCCTTCAAATACATACAATCTTTGTATTCCTCCAGTAAGTCTTCAGTGTAAACAGACATTACTTTCTGAATCAAACCTAGTTGCAAACATGATTTTAATCCTAATATAGAAGGTACTTCTTTGTCAATAACTTGGAATTCCACAACATAATTATTTTTTCCATATTGGCAGTTAAGTACTACTTTTCCTAAAGTATCCATTTTATTCCCAGCAAATATAATTAATCTTTTAATTTCAGACTTCTTTTAGAAATAACATTGCACATTGCTCCAGTATCTAACTGCAAATTAAGTTTACTTTTATTTACATTAAGGTCAACAGTCCATTTCTCTTCCTTTTTATCTGAATTAAGGTTTAATGTGCCAACATAAAATTCTATCTCTTCCTCAGAGTCATGATTTATTAATTTAATTTGTCTATCTTTTTTATTTACCTTGACTGCTTCATTTTTTATTATATAGCTTTTACACTGATTCGCGAAATGATTTGCCTTTTTACATTTATGACAGATTTTTCCATATGCTGGACACATTCGGTACTCATGAGATGTTCCACATTTAGAACAAACTTTTGTCTTTTGTTTATCGGTATTTACCTCTTTGTAGGTATTCTTATTATGTTTACTTAGTTTCTTTTTCACTAAGTTTACAGCAGTTTCCTCATCTTTTATGATTTTCATTTGATGTGCACTTATTTCAGCAGATCTGCATATATCAAGAGCTTTTTCTAATGTTAATTCTGTTTCATGTAACAATCTTGCTTTCACTACATTATCTTTAATACCACAAACAATTTTATCCTTTATTAAACTATCCGTTAATTGTGCAAACTCGCATGTTCTAGCTTTATTTTGAAGGTCAGTTACGTGTTCATCTATGGTTTCTGACGCGATTTGATTTCTAGTAAAGAATAAATGTCTTTCATATGTAATATTTTTCTTAAGAATACAATATTCCGTAAATTTTGTTTTAATTTCACTTAATTTAATTTCTTTACCCTCTTCTATAAGAAATGTATTATATATTTCAAGACCACGCATTCCTATTACATGAAGAAAAGTATTAACTCTTACCTTCTCTTCTTTATTATGTAATCCACTAGCTACTTCATATATTTCAAATGATTACAGCCATCCCTGCCAATTC